TGATCAGGAATTGGTGTTTTATTTTCATGTGCATCTTGCACATTTCACAGGGTCTGAGTGTGACGATTATGTACTATGTAACTAAGAAGATAATGGTATCACCTGCAGATCATTGTTAGTGCTTTCCGGATTTCTTCAGAAACCGTGATGAGGATTGTCCCACTTAAAACCAACGTAGGTCAGGGCTAGTTGACAGCAGTACCTCACAAGATCCCCCAAAGCTTCTGTGACCATGTTATTCCAGAGAGTAAAGAGAATTGGAAAGGCAGTCACCATGGAAATCAACAGAGAGGCTGAACTTCTACTTGGCTATCTGCGCTTGCTTGTGTTTCACATGAGGAACAAGCAGCTGTTGTGGCTGATCACAGCACAGGTCAAACAGACAGCATGAGTAAAGAACTTCTTTAAGCCAGAGGCTGAGAGGATGCTGGAATGATGTTGGTATAGGAGTTGGTCATAGAAATCAAAAAAGCAATAACAACAAAAATGTTCCTTAAAAAAAGGACAAACAGAAAAGTTGAAAAGTTAATTGAGGGAGAAAGTCTTGGGAGAATACAGACTTCATCTAGTCAGGCAACCAAGAGAATGAGTGTATTCTCCACTGATCTCATCAAGTAAAGGCAGAAGTTAACAAATGTGATATGACATGGTTTTTCAAAGTCAGAGAAGCTCAGAAGATGGAACTTGATGACACTAGACTAACTTCTATAGCTCTTTCTTTCTTTTTTATTTTTTAAGAGAGAGAGCTTTTTGCTATAGGGTGTGTTTAAGCCCCCCAATGGGAGTTGGCCATGCTGCAATCACTTCTCCTCTATTCTTTTCCTGGGATTTTGGGAATGCATGAACATGAACCCAGTGTGAATTTTAAGCAGCCCATTCTGAGATGCAAATTACAGTCGACTACAAGGAATTTCAGCAACATAACAATTACGCCATTTGCTGGACCCTTCTGTAGCTCTTTCAGCCCTCACTCTCTTTGGGGAAACTAAAGAAGAAACAAGAATTAGTATTATTCTACATGCCCTGAATCTCAGAGGAAGTGGGGATACATTCATGATTATGCTCATTGACTATGGAGGCTGCTCCATGTTATGATCACTGAACAGATGCCGTGCTTACCTATTTATAGATGAATGAACAAAATTCTACATAAATGAATAAATCTGGTCAGAGGAGGGTTTCACCACACACCAAAGCTGCACCATAGTCATTGTGGTAGGCAGAATAATGCCCCCCACACAGATGTCTACATTCCCAGTCCCTGGAACCTGTGAATACGCTGCTCTGCATAAAAGGAACTTTGCAGATGTGACTAAACAGAGGACTTTGAAGTAGGGGATTATCCTACATAATCTAGATGGGTTGAATCTAATCCCAGGAATGCATTATATTGGAGGAATTTAGCCAAAGGGAAATGTGAGTACAGAAAAATGGTCAGAGAGTTACAATATTGCTGGCTTTGAAGGTAGAGGAAGGGAATCATGAGGTGAGGAATGCGAGAAGTCTCTCAGGGCTAGAAATGCAAGGAAACTCCAGAAGAGAAGATGGTGCTAAAGACACCTTGGTTTTAGTCCATTGAGACCTGTGTCCAACTTCTGATTTCCAAAATTCAGCATATAATAAGCCGCATAGTTTAAGCCACCAAATCTATGATTATTTGCTACTCAAGCAATAAAAAAAAAAAAAACAGTCATGAAGACCCACATAATTTCAGCCTCTATTCTTGTCTCTTGATTCTGAAGACATCCTACCTCCAACTCTGTTTTAAACAGCCACACTGTCTGCCTACATGAGCTCCCTGTGAGCAATTGTCTCCCTTCTATACCTTCCTTCAATCCTTAATTGACTAATTTTTGTTTGTTTGTTTGTTTAGAGAGGGAGATTTTTGCTATACACCGCGTGCACTTGCTGGAGAGATTGAGAAAGGCACAGAGACAGAAAGCAAGAAATCACCCTTCTCCCAGGAGGGGTTAGCCATTCTGTAATCCCTTCTCCTCCATTCTCCCCTCTAAATTTTGGACACACATGCACACGTGCTGATTGTGAGTTTTAAGGCTCTGGTCCAGAACTTGAACCACAGTTGACCATGTGGGATTCCAGTAACTTAACCATTATGCCATCTGCTGATCCCCCTAAATTCTTCTTTATCAGTGGTTCAATCTTGAAAACTGTGCTCAGGTTCTGTATATAATTATCTGGTCAACTACTCCCAACCCTGGTTGTTTTTAAACCAGGGCCCATTTGTGCCATCTTCATTATAAAATTTTGCTGGATACCTTTGTGTCATGACTTCTGTCTTTGGGTGTGGGTAGGGTTGAGTTGAATATTTCTGAGATGAACAACTTCATTCAGACTATACTGGAGAGCTTGATCCTTAGAGTGAGTCTTAGTCCTTTCACCTTTGTCCCTGAGGTGTGTGTCTTTTCAAGAAGTCAGAGCAAGCCTTGAGTGTGGCTAGGTCCCAGAATGTGTCCATTGTGTCTATCAAGGGCTTGCCTCCAAGGCACAGAGATCTCCTAAGCTTACTGATGTGATCCCCAAAGTTATCCTAATACCACTTCAGAGAATTCTGACCAGAAGATTGTGGTTCAGGGCTTCCATTCCTTGACTTTCCAGAACATAAAACCTGGACCTAGGAGGGAGAAAAATATCTTCAAATGGAAACTCTGGATCCATCCCTGGCCATGTACACAGACTGCCATAATTTCAGCCTATCAGGAAATTCCTTTGTGCTTTTTCCATGACCTCATATTTCTTTCACAGTCCTAGAAGGAAAGAAAAGGCCAGGGGGTAGGCGCTGCCATGGAACCAATCTGAAACCAGTATCTGCTTTGGTGTACATAGGTCTCTATCCCCTTCTACTTTCACATCTTTTTCTCAAATGTTACTTCCTTGGTATAGAAAGTCTCTCATTATTCTGAGGAGTAACAGTGTCTCATCTGTCCCCAGAGGGCTCCTTGTGTTCCCATCATTCCCACAGAGAGTGCCCTTCAGGAGTCTAACTTTCCCACCCAGTGTAAGATCAGCTCTAAACACTGTCAAGGAACAAAGGACGTGGAGATGTGGTGACTAGAGACAACCAAGAACACTCAGTTTTCAAGGAGAAGAGACAGAAGCAGCACCTTTTTTCTGGTCTCCTGAAAGACTTTCTCATCAGCCAGCTCCACATTACTGTTGCTGCCTCAAGCTTTGAAGGGAGGCAGGGTAAGACTCAACTTTGGAAAGTAGGACAAGGGCTGGTGATGTCCTAGCCTGTGGAGCCACTGGCCCAGCAGCGCCAACCCTTCCCATCTGTATATGGGATTCCTGCTCATCACACTGGCTGTGAGACACTAACTATGGGCCATGGGCTATAAATCTTATAGCACTCACTTAACAAAGTGGAACCAGTAGACAGGAATCTCCAGGCATGGACTTTTAAATGCAAACAGATCAAAAAAGCAAGGTGCTGAGAAACTGAGGTGAGTGATTTATTTTGGTTATTATGCAACACAGACAGGATTGGACTTACTCAAATTTAGAAAGTACAGGGCATATAATTTAGACCTACTACTGAGGTTTATCAGGGGCATGGGTTCAAGTTTTCCTAACATTGGATGTCATTATTTAGCTTTTATGGGGCTGGAGAAAGGGACAGGGTACCTATACACAGCTTGTCTTTTTCTACTTCTGGCATTTTGGACCATAAAAATTATGTGCTTTCATGTCCAGAATATTATAATGAAACCTTATGGAAAACTGAAATTCTAAGAAACAGTATAAAGCCACAAAAATATTCACATAAAATGTGAATGTGCATGTACACACACACACACACACACACACACAATTAGTATTAAAAAATTGAGAGATGATGGGCAAAGAAAATTTGAGTTTCATTGGCAGTGATAATGATTACAATGACAGTAGTTATTTGTTGAGCAGAAATTAAATGGCAGTCACTGTACTAAGTAGTTTGCTGATTTAATATTTATGATCACCTTAGAGGTGGATTACTATTATTTTGTCCATGTTATAGCTGGATAAAGGAAGGCTGAGAAAGATTAAGTGATAAGGAAGAGCAGGATTATGGCTCATGAAAAGCAAGTATTGGAGCCAGAATTTGCACACAGACAGTCCAGCCTCATGCTTGTGCTCCACACCACTTTTGGAAAGGGAGAGGAGAAGGGAGGTGCTACAGCAAGGCAGAGCCATCTAGTCAACCCAATGGCCTTGGAGTCACTGACTGAGCAACTGCCTCAATTTCCAGGCACATGCTCCTGAACTCCAGTGCACTCATGCTCCTAATCTTTGAAAACACCTACCAGAAAGCCTCTCTTAAGGCAGGTAATTTATTGGCCAGAAAAAAAGAAAAAAATCACCTCTGACTTTCCAAAAATTTTATGATCATAGCTAGAAAATATTAATGAATGAGAGTCCAGAAAATAATTGCAGGGGCCCTTTGAAGGCATCCTAATGCATCGCTTCTGGGCCATAACACAGATACCCAGTACCAACCTACACTTGGAGCTTCTGAGTGACATACATTAATTCTCTCTCTCTCTCCCTCTCTCTCTTTCTCTCCATGTTCCCCTTCCTATCCTAACTTACCCTGTTTCTCCCTCTCCCATCTTTGGTCTTTCCTCTATTCCTTCTCTATGTCTCTTTTGTTTTCTTCTTGTTGCTACCTCAATGTTGATATCTGTTCATGTTCTCTTTCTTAATCTGTTCCTCTCTGGATTTCTCTCTGCTTATCAATGGATTGCTATGTTTTTCTCTTGCCTGGCTCCCTGACTCTGTTTCTCTCTGAGTCTCATATTCCTATTTTGTCATCCCTCTTTCTCTCTACTATTCTGTTTATCACAGATTACCTGCTAGCCTTCCTTACCCTGTTCTCTGGCTCTGTCACTGCCTATCCCCATTCTCTAATCAGTGGTTCTATTTCTCTGTGGCTCTTTCTCTATCTCTGATTCATTTCTGTCTCTTATTTCCCCTACTCACAGGAACCTAGTCCCAGGAACATGGGGAATCTGAGCCAGCCCTCTGAATTTGTCTTCTTGGGCTTCTCCTCTTTGGGTGAGCTGCAGGTTCTTCTGTATGGACCCTTTCTTGTGCTGTATCTTCTCGCCTTCCTGGGGAACACTATCATCATAGTCATGGTCATAGCTGACACACATCTACATACTCCCATGTACTTCTTTCTGGGAAACTTTTCTCTGTTGGAGATCTTGGTGACCATGACTACAGTGCCTAGAATGCTCTCAGACCTGCTGGTCCCACAAAAAGTCATTTCCTTCAGTGGCTGCATGGCCCAGTTCTACTTCTACTTCTCCCTGGGTTCCACCTCCTTCCTCATCCTGTCAGACATGGCCCTTGACCGCTTTGTGGCCATCTGCCACCCTCTACGCTATGGCACTTTGATGAGCTGGTCTGTGTGTGTCAGGCTGGCTGGGGTTGCCTGGGCAGCTCCTTTCCTAGCCATGGTACCCACTGTCCTCTCCCGAGTTCACCTTAATTATTGCCACGGCAATGTCATAAACCACTTCTTCTGTGACAATGCACCTCTACTCAAGTTGTCCTGCTCTGACACACGCCTGCTGGAATTATGGGACTTCGTGATGGCCTTGGCCTTTGTCCTCAGCTCCTTCCTGGTGACCCTCTTCTCCTATGGCTACATCGTGACCACTGTCCTGAGGATACCCTCTGCCAGCAGCCGCCACAGGGCTTTCTCCACATGTGGATCTCACCTCACTCTGGTCTTCATCGGCTATAGTAGCACCATCTTTCTGTATGTTCGGCATGGCAAAGCACACTCTGTGGATGTCAATAGGATAGTAGCCTTGGTGACGTCAGTCTTCACCCCCTTCCTCAATCCTTTCATCCTGACTTTCCGCAATGAGACAGTCAAAGCAGTGCTACGGGACAGATGCAGAGGCTGAAAGGCTTTCACAAGGCACTGTGATGAACCCAAGGGACCTGGCCAGGCTCAGGCAAGCAGGTCTGTGTGGGGCAGAGTATCCAGCTGGCTGGAAGACCAGAATCAAGTTTCTTTAGAATTTTTCTTCTAAGCCTGAGTCTGAACCACAGTGGGTCTTCAGTGCTACCCTCACAGGCCTGACGCTTTCACAGATACCAAAGAGTACACCCCATACCTGCTTCAGCTACAAGGACTCTTAAAGTAGCTCAGAGTCTGAGAACAGGAGTGAGACTTTTAGCAGAGAAGAGGTACACAGCTTTGCATTCAAGGACAAGTGGCCAACAAGTGTTTTCTGGTTGAAAAATCTTACCCAGCCCCAATGTGCATGTGTGCATGTATGTGTGTGTTTCAGGGTGTGCTTCTGTGCCACAGTGTGTGACCCATGGCTGAGCATATGCACTTAGGTTACATGGGATTAGGGGGACCAGCACCACTTATGAAATAGACTGCTTTTCACTGTGTATGTGTGTGCATGTATGCACACATGTGTGTGGAACTCATTATATAATCACTCATCTATTTATTCATTATTTCACCAACACCAAGAGACTCGGTATGTCAGGCACTATAACAAAGTGCAGAGTTAAAGGGCACAGACAGTGCTTCTCCTCACAAAGCTCTTCACCTAATGAAGGGAAAAAAGAGATTTTCACACTGCAGCAGGGAGGTGCCGTGACGGATTCACAAGTTTTCTGTGATGGACTCACAGGTTTTAGGGAGGAACTCTAAGACTAGACAGGGGAGGGACAGACTCCTGATGGGATGACATCTGAGTGACTCATTGAATATAAGAGGGTCATGTTGAGAATGCAATTTTTTAAGTGCCCTTGTATCTAAGGAAAAAAAACAGAGAAAAATGAACTCAGATTAAAACAAGGTAAATCTTAACTGATACAAGAAACTAGAGACATCTTTCAGGATTTACATGGGTTCCAGAGTGGAAATATCACAGAGAGTTTTAGAAAGGTAGAATAAACTTATTTCCCATATGATTAGAAAGTGCTGCCACTTCATTGCCCTATTAGTGTGTTTCCATCAGGTTCTCAAGTTCTTCATCTTCTCAGGCAATGATTCAATAATCATTGAATAAATCTAGTAAGTTTCTTTGTCTGGTCCTTATGTATCTTTATACACACACAACTATATTTGTTTGTGTGTGCATGTGTATGTAAAAATCCTGAAAATCTATTGTGCTTCATATTATCTTTGTAATAACCACCAGTTCCACATCCCTACGCAATTCTGAATACGGTCCAGAATATTAAGTATCTCCCAGTTACTTTGTTCTCAGAATTATGGTGTTCTCCTAGCTTTCAGCTACCCAGAATTTTATAAAACAGCACCACATTGTTTTCATAAGTAAATTTACAAAACTTTCTTTCCCAATTTGTGACATATAAACTAAAATCCAGGGTATATTCCTAACTATGTAAAGATAATGAAAACCACTTCTCTCTTGCAAATGTCAAGCTTTAAAAACATCTACTGTGCAGAAATAAACACATGGGAAGTGAAGACAGTAGGTAACTGTGGCCTACTGGTGGACACAGAGTACAGCCTTGGAGACCAGGCTCACTCAGTGTCTGGTGGTTCTCAATGTATGGCTCTGCATCATCCTGGGCTAGCTCCTTCCTAAACGAGGTTCCCCTTTCTCTAGCTTTTGAAAGTGTGTTTATTTCTTGCTAAGATGCCCTTCACCCAAGTTAGATGGTCTCTTCAGGTTTTTAGTTTAGATTTCGAGTCCAGAATTTTATTTGTCTTTTAATAATGTATCATTGCAAAAATTCTGGTTCTTGCTGATGCTGTTGAATAAATTTCTTTTCTCTATTTATTCTCTGATTACCAGTTTGAAAAGTATTTGAAATGAAAAGATGATGATTAAGTTAAGAAAATTCCACTAATAATACCTTACTTTAAATAACTTTTCACACTCTATAAGCCCATTTTTAAAGGTTGACTTCATTAATGATAGAGAGGGAGTGAGCGAGGTTTTTTGTTTGCTTCTTTTTTAGTTTTTGCTATAGGAATGTAAGGTCACCAGAGAGAGACAGACAGGGAGTGGGGGTGAGTATGGCCATACCACAATCCCTTATCCTCCATTCTTCAAAATTTTGTCCAGTACTCTAGCAACGTAGTTAGCCACATAGACCCAGGGCCTTAATCAACACATTACCTGCTGTCCTCAAGAGAGGTATTTTTCTTTTTTTCTTTCTTTATTTTATTTTATTTATTTATTTATTTTTGAGAGAGAGAGAGAGAGAGAGAGAGAGAGAGATTAATTGCCTTATGGTACATGAGATTGCCAGGGGGAGAAAGAGACTTAGGAAAAGCAAGAATTCACTTTCTAGGGAATGGACACACCACAATTCCTTCTCCTTCATTCTCCTCCCCGTATCCTAGGCAAGCACCTGTCATGATTTTCAAGCCATTGGGTCAAGAACTTGAACCATTATCAGCCGTGTGGGAGTCCAGCTACACAAACGCAACGCCAACTGATGGTCTTAGAGGTACCCCTTGACAGGGTCTCACCTCTGATCCTCCCTCCAACCTCCCCGCTGGTTGGGAACACAAACAGACTCAGCAATTGTAGTCTATCTGGGATCTGAAGCCAGGCCTCCTATGTGACTTCAGCAATTATGGCCCACCTGGGATCTGAAGCCAGACCTCTTATGTGGCTTCAGTATCATGCCTGATTGCTGGTGTCACCAAGGCTGGACCTCTAACCCACTTTCATATATATTTCCCATACTAATTAAATACATAGTGATTCACTGAATACATCATAAACAAAACACTCTGTTCAGCACTGGCCTTTAAAGATGAAACAAACATGAATTCTAACCTCAAAGAGTTCCTCATCTACTGAGAGAAGGGAAAAGATCCAATTGATTCTGACATGATAGGATAAGGGTTTCCTAGTACTAAGAGAGCCTGGAAGGGAAATACTAATTCCTGAGCTCCATCCAAGCAGTGGCTGGAGAAGGGACCCATGGCTGAGAGAAAAATGAGTTGGTCAAAGAGATGGTAGGCTGGCAGTAGAATCAGGTACATCAAGTTTCTTTTCCATCTCTATATTCCTGGAATTTCATTTTCCATCTGGGTCAAAAGTTGAATCAATTAAATATTGGAATCTCCAGGATTATTAGCTGGTCAGTGCTGCCTCCTCTAGCCTCATATGGGTGTGTATCCATCAAGTTCTCAAGATCATAGCTTTGTCCTGGCAATAATTGTAGTAACCCCTGCCTAATACTAACTGTATGTTTAGCATCCATCACTGGGAAGAATTACATATTGGCAGAAAAGAACCACAGAATTCAGTGCCATTTTCAAAAATTTGTAATTTATTTATCACAATAGTATCCACAACATATAAAAGATAGCAAGTAATATTTACACATGCAAGTGTTTTTACTTTATTTTTAAGAGGCTTTTGCATGCTCACCGGAGAAAGAGAGAGACAAAGACAGTGAGAGGGGAAGTGAAAAAAATCACACCCTGGGGTGATTGCCACACCGCATTCCTGTCTCCACTCTTCTCCTCCTGGGATCTTGCACACACAAGCGCCTGGCATGACTGTTAAGTCACTGCGTCCAGACTTGAACCATGCTTGGCCATGTGGGAGTCTAGAGACATAATTGTTATGCCATCTGCTGGCCCATTGAAATGTTTATTTTAAATAAATGTTTTTATTCCATTTACATATAATGTTAATAGCACAATAGATTGAAGTAAATTCAAGATCCCCCTACTGTAATATCATTTCTGGAGGGAGAAGAGAACATGTGAATTGGTTGTTCGTCTATAAGAAGTCATTTGACACAGTTACACGGAGTCCACTCTACAAAAGTAGCTTACATTGGACATAATTTCAGAGTGATAGGAACAACAGTCCTTAATAATGAAGTCTATGTACCCTGGAACATGAGTTGGCACTGTAACCTAAAACATGGATGGCCATTTGGGTTGATGGAGAATGTAGTAAACCAAGCAAGGGAAGAAGTCATCCTTTTGTGCTCTATCTCGGTTAATTGTCTCAACTGGCATCACAACCAGTCCTAAGACCCATGTAGCAGCAGGGACCAGAAGAAGCAATGTGAATGGCAAAGGATCTAGAAACTGTCCAATAGCAACATCTGACTAGTAAAGCTGAATGTTCCGTGGGAGAGTACGTAGACATCTTTACCTATCTGCGAATATGCCTGTATATTTGAAAAGGCAGAACTAGGACAGTAAGTGAACACTAGCAGGAGTCACACTGAGGCTCGACAGGACTTCATCTCACAATTCAGAACCAACCGTGCTGCAGTGGAAGGGGCCATCTCACAGTGCCCTGAGTGCTCTCCCCGTCCACTTGGTTCATGTAGACACTCCGAGCCAGTCTGACCTGTGTGCTGCAGTGGGAGGCCTGTGCTGCCCTGAAGGAGGGGCCGGGCCAACTGCCAAGCCCAGGAGCCCCGGGCATTTCTATGAGGCTATGGCCTAGTTACATCAGGACTTACACTGGAGAGAGTTTCAGAACAGCTACTTTAACTTAGAACTGGAATCCCAAGATTCTTTCCAGTAAATTGAAAACTTTTTACATTGTTTTCTCATTTATGGCTATCCAAAACATCTCCAGGCCAGGTCCACACAGGATTCTTATGGCAATTCAGAGTCCAGGCCATTAGATTAAAGTCATTAAAGGAGTTTAAAGCCAGACCAGGATAAAAATCTCAGTTTGTCCTTAGAAAACTAAAGACAGTGCAGGACAAGGGTGGGCGATGGGGGTGGGGGACAGACGGGAGGGAAAAAAGCAAAATATTGAAAAAACACAAAAATGGAAAATTGCTGATGATAATATATATGATAATATCTTTGATTGGACTGATATGCAATGTATTCAAGGTGGAAAAATTTATTTTACATGCTGAAAACATGTACAGTGATTAAATGTAAGAAAAAAAGAATAAAAAAATAAATAACAAGTGGACCTACAATTTCCCTCTTCTGGTGTCCCTCTTGTTGAGACTAGGACAAGAACTTTCTTACACAATTTCCTGACTAAAACCTCCACCAGCAAATAGTCTAGATCAGTGTGGTTCACATATTACTGTCCTCAGAATCACCTGGAGATCCTGTGAAGGCACCGATTGGATTCAGTCAGTAGGCCTTGGTCTGAGATTCTGCCTTTCTAACAAGCTCCCAAGAGATGCCAGTGCTCTTCCAAGAGTCACAATTTACCCAGCAAAGGACCACAGGCAAGCTTGTGGAGAATGTCATGCTGTGTGTTGGTAGTGACTGGGCAATTCTTGTGGACCTCCAGAGCAAGTCCCACCTTCCCCAAACCTGACCACTAAGGGATCCCATTCCTAAGGAAGCACTGTGGGAAACAGGCAGTGGACTGCCACAGGCTGTTGGAAATTTTTAATTTTTGAGAGGGAAATGTATGGAGATGAGACCATAGCAGGAAGGGGTCCCTCAGGAGGGAACACTAAGTGGATTTGTGTACTTATTATTTTTAGAGGAGATAGTGAAGGGAAGTCCCTGCATATGAGAAACAGATAATTGCTTCCCACTTACTTCTCTAGTTTTTTACAAACTTTGCAAAGAGGGTAGATAATTAGTCCCTTGAGAAGTGGAGGAGAGAAGTTCTCAGGTTGAGAAACTGTTTTTCTTGCTTGCACTTACAACAAAATCAGACTATCTGCCCATTGTTAGTGAGGCCTACAACGTGAAAACATCCTGTGGTAGCTTTAAAAGGATGACGGAGCAGTTTTATTGGAAATGAAACTACATGATGATAACAAGATTGGTGCCTCAAGGCTATGAACCCTGGAACACTGACCCTGTAGCCGTAGCTCTGTCTCATAACCCACCCCGCAACTATTCACTACCAATTAGGACCAGGGCTTTTCTTCCAGGTATCCTTTGGATGGAGCCAGCTTCATAACTTTAAGGAAATTTGCACCAACTCTAAGTCCTACTTTGCTAATACCAGCCTAGTTCAGATCCAGCCTACGAGGAGAAATCAGATACCACAGGCTGGACAGTGGCATAGCAGTAACGCAAATCTCTGTGGGGCTAATTTACATGGGAGGGTTTCAGGCTCATGTCTGGAGACCTCTCATGCTGCCAGGCATGTGTGTGCCCGTGATCTTAGGCTGGCTGTAGCTGGAAGTGGATTATGGCATAAAGACTCTGTTGATGGTACCTTATCTCTGTCTCTTTCACTAATGGCAGAAATAAAAAAGGGAGAAAAGAATGAAGGAAGGAAAGAAGGAAGGAAGGAAGGAAGGAAGGAAGGAAGGAAGGAAGGAAGGAAAGAAAGAGAGAGAGAGGAAGAGAGATAAGGAAAGAAAGAAGGAGGAAAAAGAAAAGCAAGAGAAAGAAGGAAAAAAACTTTAATTAAAAAAAAAGAAAAGAAAAGAAAAAAGAGATCATATACCAGAGCTATTCCAATCCCACTATCTTCCCATGACTTCCTAATCTATCCACAGATTTCTGAAGAACTCAATCCCTCATCTGCCCTTCTGCCCCATTACCCACAATACCAATCTACCTCCTCCTTCTCATCTGGCTTCTACCATCTTTGTTCTTGCCATCCAGAGCCCCTGACAGTATAGCTGGAATGCTTTCAAGAAACCCAGTCTCAGAGAGCCTACGGTCCTCTCTCCAGAACATGGAGCTGAGTTTCTGGGAGGAACAAGAAGTAGTACCCACTTAAAGGGGACCATTTCTACCAAAAGATAAGAGGTATGGGGGCCAGGATACTGATGTGGGCAGCAGAGTATGAGAGGCAATTGTGCACCAAGAACAGTCACAGAAAGGGGTGTCAATGAGGGACTCTGTTGGGATGATAGGCCTTTCCATTCTTCTTAGAGAACCTTCCATTTTCAGAATCCCATCCTAGAACCTGAAGCCAGTTCTCTTTACCGCAAAAAAGTTGTACTACACACACACACACACACACACACACACACACACATAAATAAAAATAAAGGAATGTGAACCAGATTGAGATAAGATATTTTAACAGCACAATTTAATGATAATAATAATAATAGCTGAATTTATTGAGCCTTATGTATCAGATGCTCTTTTAAGAGCTTTATTAGGATCATCTCTTCTAATTGATACCACTCCATCATTTCAGTCTATGGCTCCCTCGAAACCATCCACTGCTTAACTACCCCAGACTCACAAAAAATCACATGTTGTGTGTTAATTAGCCTCTGCAGCCTGGGCACCTGGGTGCCACCTGCCAACAGGGTCTTTCCTCCCAGTGACTTGTCAGGTGCTCACCAGTCCCTCATCTGTGAGATGCTGGATTTCTCAGGAGAATCTTCTTGGTCACATCCTCAATGACCTCCTTGACCTTCTCATTGCGGAAAGTGAAGATAAAGGGATTGAGGAAAGGCGTAACCACTGCAGTCATCAGGGCCACCACCTTGTTGAGGTGTGTGGAGTGGCCTTTACCTGGCCTCACATAGATGAAGATGGCACTGCCATAACCCAGGACCACCACAGTGAGGTGAGAAGCACAGGTGGAGAAGGCCTTCTGGCGGCCAGAGGAGGATGGGATGTGCAGCACTGCAGCCACAATGAGCACGTAGGAGACCAGGATGAGCAACATGGTGGCCAGCACAAAGAGCAAGGACAGGAAGAAGTCCATGTACTCGATATGGCGGGTGTCAGAGCAGGAAAGCCGAAGGAGTGGGGCGGAGTCACAGAAATAGTGGTCAATGACTTTAGGGCCGCAGAACCAGAGCCGTGTCTTCTGCAGTGTGGGGGAAACAATGGAGAGAAAGCCCACCACCCAGCAGGCCACTACCAGCTTCACACACACTGGCCCGCTCATGATGGTCGGGTAGTGCAGAGGGCGGCAGATGGCCACATAGCGATCAAAGGCCATGACTGTGAGGATCAGGAAATTGGTGGAGCCCAGAGAGAAGTAGAAGAAAGACTGAGTCAGGCATTCAGCCAGAGACATGGTCTTGTGCGTGGATAGCAGATCGGCCAGCATCCTCGGAACCACAGTGGAGGTGACCAGCATCTCCATGAGGGAGAAGTTGCAGAGGAAGAAATACATGGGGGAGTGGAGACGGGAATCAAGACAAGTGAGGGTGATGATGGACAGGTTCCCCAGCACAGTCAGCACGTAGATCACCAGGATGAAGGCAAAGAGGAGGACCTGGAACTCATGGAGATGAGAAAACCCCAGGAGCACAAACTCCCTGACCACACTGTGGTTACCCATGGCACTGGATGTTCATTCCCATATTTGTGAGAAATCAGGAAATCTTGGTGGGAAATCACCTTCAGCCTTTCTCTTGGCCACGTCCCAGAGAGCTGGCCTGGCTCCTCAAGCAGACTAGCCCGTGTGTGTGGTTAATCTTAGTGTCCATAAGACACGTTCTCTAAAGACATAAGTCTCTCTGGAATGGAGCTTCCCCCCTTAGTGTGGCATCACTCCTAGAATCTTGGCCTTCTATTCATTCATTGTTTCATTCAGCACATTTATAAGTTCCAACTCTGAGTAAGACATTGGCTGGGTCTAGAGATAAAGTAGTAAACATCTCCTGTCAACTTTAAGTCTTAGTCAAGCCATAGCTGCTCTTCACTAAGTTCTTCCCCTGTGCAGTAACTGCAGATGCCTTACATGTGACTTCTTTTCATCTTTGGTGCTCAGTCCTCTCACTTTCTTCTTTGAAATTTCAGGCCACATTTAACTTACTTTTCAAACTGCTTTCATTTTTTATGGCAAGAACCTTTTATTCTTTAAGTTCTCCTGCAATTCTCTTGTTTGGGTATCTGTCTCCTTCTCTGACTCCTTTACTTTCTGCCATTTCTAAATATAAGATGCTCCCACAGTTCTCTTTCCATTTTTTTTCTTTTTAATCCTTCTATTCCCACTTTCAGAAATCCCATCTTCTCTTTTAGCCAAAGGAATTTGGATTTTTGTCCTCCTGAGTCCCAGCCCACATCTCAAACTGCCTGATGACACTCAACATGCCCCAAAATACACATGTAATTCTCATCTCCCTCAAAGCTATCATGTTCATGGCTCCCAATTTCTCAGTCATCTAAGCTCAAAACTGGACATCATCTCTTGTTTTCCCATCTCGTTTCCAAGCTACTCAAACTACTGTCCTTAGAATTTATTTTTAGACTACCCTTTCGCTTTAAATTTTTTTCTCATTATTTTTATTTTTCAATTTATTTTATATTATCAATCATTATACATCACCGCCACTTGTAAAATGAATTTTCCCAGCATGAATATGCTGTGTACTAGTCCAGTTAAAGATATCATACACATTATCATCAACAGCCAATCCTCCATTTCTGTGTCCCTCAAATGTCTTGCTTCTCTATTTTTCTCCTTGATTCTTTTCCCCTCAACCTCTCCCCCTTTCCTTTTATATCCACCACCCTAGTTCAAGGATATGTCTCTTCTTAATAATGCAACAACATTCCTATTTTTACATGTTTTTCTTTAAAGAATTTTTTTAACTTTATTTATTTATTTTAATTTGACCAGAGAGTGACAGAGTGAGAAAGAGAAATACAGAGAGAGAGAGCAAGCAAGTCGCCAGGTCCAGGACTTGAACCGCAATCAGTCATGGTTAAGCATCCTTAACCACCATGCAACCTGCCAGCCCCTGTAACTGCATTCTTAATGATTCTTATTTCTAGATTTCTCTACCTCCAGCCTACCCATATACTGTGGTTTTATTCAGCTTTATGAATGATTAAATTCATATACTGTAATTGCAAAGTGGTATAATTTCATGTAGAGAGTACTCTCAAAATTAATTTACCAAAATATATACCTTTGTATAGAGAAAGACTGGAAAGTTACATTTAGAATATGAACAATGGCTCTCTCTGAATGTGGATTACAGACATTTATTAAATTATTTAACTGATATTTAAGGCATATATATTATTTGAAGACCCTTCATACAAAGTAAACTAATTTCTATGGCCAAGTTAATTAACATATGTATTTCTTCACAAGTTATTATTTTGTGGATGTCAAGAAAACTGAAAATCTACTTTCTTAATGAATCTCAGGAACACAATATAATATTAAGTATAGTCACCATGTCCTGCATTAGATCTCTAGAATCTAATTGTCCTAGTAACAAAAACTTATTTGTAACCCTTTGAACCCTTATTCCTACCTTCTGTTGAAATTTGTTTTTACCCTTTCCAAGTTCTTTTCATTTAAATGTACTATTCCGGTGTCAGAAAAAAAAAATCATAAACGAGAACATCAGCAGTAATATCTAGTCCTTCATTTATTCGCCAAGTCAAGCCCTGATGAGTCTCACCTTCCACTGCTTTCCCAGTCACCCCAAGATTTAACTTCACCTACTCTTGCCACAAAGTCTGTGGGCCACTGGACCACACACTAAGCTGTACCACTGCTACTCTCCGAACATCAATAATTCCACCTCACTTTCACACCTTTCCCTTATTAATCCTTGCACTTGGCATATCCTGTTCTGCCATGTCTGCCTGGCAAGTTGTTGATCAGCCATCAGGGATTGTCTCTAATTCCCCTCCTTTGTGAACCTTCAATCCCCGTTCAGCGATGATATCATCCTGCCTGGAACTCTGAACTAGGGAAGTTAGCACAATCTGCCCTATGTGCATTATTATTTGTAGGCTGGTCACTTTCAAACCCTAGACTCCTTATTTCTCAGGAGCAAGGCTCTTCTCATCTTTGTAGCCCACCCAATACCTAGCAACATGCCTTACACAGTGTAATCACTTGGCAAATTTAGGTTAAGCAAATGATGAGCACACCTGTTAGGTTTCATTCCCATTCTGAAAATGAATGTTTTACCACATAGAAACTCACATTTTCTTTAATGAGCTTGTGCAAGTATGTTTTGTGGTCTCTTACAAAAGGTAATGAGACAATTATGGCCCTCAATTTATTATCAGAAAGAGGAGAGGGAACCAATCTCAGCAGAGTCTGAGCAGCACCTGTAATCAAACACACTGTTTCTGAGGCAAAACACGTAAATATTCACATACCTGGAATAACTAAAGACTATAAATAGTTTCCAACTGTTTAGCTCAGGCCAAGTTTAATCATCTAGTTAGTTTGACACAAAATTTAAAAAGAATTTTCAGTTTTCAAAGCACCTTTAATGGTCCAGTGAGTACATACCACATACTGGTTACATGTGGAACTGATGCCACAAAATGCTACCACCTTTATGTCACAAGGGATGAAACCTGAGTCTCAGGATGTCTCAGGCACTCAACCTCAAGTCATTCAGTTAATAAATATTGAGCTGGGGTTTGAATCCGCAATTTTTGAACTCAAACACCTGTTTGCCATAATCAAACCTCTAAATTTGTGGCATCTACAAAATTTCCAATAAAATACAGTGCCATATTAAATTCTGAATACAGAATTCAAAGACTATTGCTTACGTGGGTCAAAAGAAAAAGTAATAAATGGCAACTGAAGGAATGGATTAGACAGCGACTTTCCACAATCAACTGCTAGCTATCAGCGATAGGTAGGAGATGCAGAGTGGACCTCTTTCCCGGAAGAAAGGAACTAACTTGGGTCTCTAATGCTATTGTAAGACTAGTTCAAGATTCTCCAAAAATAATCAGCCCACAGCCTTCCATCTCTCATCTAGTGCTCAATACTCAGATCTCAGAACTCTGCTCCTCCTCCAGCTGTCACCTCTGTGGTGTCACTATTTGGCCTTACATTGATGGCTCTCACGTACTCTGGAGATGATAAACCTGAGTCAGAATGAGGAATTCAACCCATTGCCTATTACACATGTTATTTACCACCGGCTACCAAGGTGCAGCATCTTTACCCGACAGGGTTCTGTGACGTTGCATCCAGGAGTTGAAATCACAGCCATTGTCTTCAAATCAGCCTCCAGCATGGCCTCTACTGCTACTCTCTTACCCTTAACCCCTTACTCCAACCCTTCTTTCATTGTTCTTCCCAACTCCCTTCCAGACTCCTGGACTTTTCACCCTTAGGCTCTTTGTTTGTTAGATCCTGTTCCTCCCCCATCTTGATGGATAGTTCTCTTCTCTTTGTTTAGGATTCATACCAGTCTTTCCTTCAAGATTCTGGATCACAACTCCAGCCCAGCAACTGGGAGCCCACAGCATAGGACAAACCCTCTGAGGTTGTTATAAAACTTCTGTACTTGCTGAGTAATTTTATATTACAGGCTTTTATTTTTAAAAAAAAAAAAAAACCTGATTATTTAATACGAGAAAAGTTAACATAGGAAATGTCTAACTTGAATGTAGAATAAACTTTTCTCTGCACTGGGATTCCCTCACTGCAGCCTCTGGGGAAGCCCTTGGAGAATTTCCTTTCTTTTCTACAGAACAGATGCCCTCTCAGGCCCCAGACTTGATCACCTCTATCTATGACTCAGGCAAACTCCACTTGTGTAGTCAGGAGACAAGGCAGCCCCTATCAAACAGACTAAGCACAGCCGTAGCTATCCGGAAGCAGGCAGGTCAAGGCTACGGGTGGCCATTTAGCACACGCTTTGGACAGCGTCCACGTCACCTGTAAGTGACAGTCTGGAATCTCCAGAGTCTTCTGTTTCCCTCGCTGATTCCTGTCAAGTATCTTCACTGATAAAAGATCCTGTTTGTTTTTCTCCAAATCCTTCATGCTGCAGATTTTACTGTTTGGATTTCTGTTAAAATGTCACATATGAGATAACTCTCCTGTTCCCTACCAACCATTCAGAGACTTGGAGCTCACTGGAAAATTTCCCCTTATTAGGCATCTTTCTCGTCCAGGTCAACCTCTCATGTCTCCCGGCTGAATTTCCCAATTACCCCTGTGCCTTGTAAATTCTGAAACAGCTTTGCTACCCCAGAAAATGACTCCCTCTGTAATACACTGGAAACTCAGAGTGGGTAGCAGTACCATCACCTTGGTTCTTTGCAGCAGGAGTTTGGTCATCAGCCTACTGGAGCATGCTCAGCCTCTTAAAAAACAGAGGTGAAGAATGGGGCAGAGGGAGGAGGAGAAATTACCTGAACTCTTCTCAGGCCTTTGTAAGGGGCAGGTGGTCAGGACACCAGGGCAAGCAGATCAGCTGGCAGCAAGAAATCGAGGCAAACAGCAAAGAAAGAATACAAGCTGACCAGTTACGAGTCGAGGAAGGCCCAAGATGAGAAAAGAGATATGTCCAGAGGGGGCTCTAGGCTGAGCTAGCACTGAACTCTGGTCTATGA